TTAGGCATCCTCTTGACGAAAGAAGGTTGCGCGCCTCAAATAGCCCAAAATATGCTTGCCAAACAGATCAACAAGATGGGCAGATGGGGCAATACGTTCACCTCCCTGCTGGGTCGCGCCTTGGCCATCAACACTTCAGTCTTCTCAATGATGTGGTACATAACATCAATATGGACAATCCCTGATCACTCAATAAAGGACCTGAATCGCAAAGCTAGAGCCTACCTGTGGTCAGGAGATTCCAACAAGGAGAATTATATACCAAAAGTAGCATGGCACTACATTACTAGGAAACCCGCTGAAGGCGGTCTTGGTATTATAGATCCCAAACAAGAAACAAAAGCTCTACAAGTAAAATGGATTGTCAAACTCCTCACCAAGTCGGGCACAACATGGAACAATCTGGCGCTGGACAGCATTAGAGAGCTGGCTCCGGTATCAACAGCAGCAAACATGTCGGGCCTGTTTTGGGTAATGAACAAAGAATGGAGCCCAAAAACGGGCCGCAGAAACCAACAAAGTAAGGGAACCCCCAACGGAACCAACCCTCCCGCACCGAACTGGACTGCACTTCTTAGGATTTGGTGGGAAATTATGCCAAAGAAAGTCGGGAAACCAAAGACCAGAGAAGAAGTACTGAGGCAACCTCTATTTGGCAATCCGTGGGTGAGAGACGAAAGCGATCACCCGCTCTCGCTTAAACCGAATGGCATACGCTGGTTATCATGGATAAAACACGGGATCTGGAAAGTCTCGCACATATGGGACGAGGACAAGAAGGAGTGGCTCACTGATCAGGAACTCACCACCAGTCTCAAGGGATGCCACCGGCGTCAGGAAAACCTACAAACAATAATCAGATGCATCCCGGAGGGATGGAGAGAAAGATTAACAGAAGCACCGACCTGGAAAACGGGGGAATGGGGGGTCAAGATACAAGAACAGTCCCGTTTAAAGGCCTACCAATTCTCCCATAAGCAGCAGGGCTCACATACCTTGGCTGTCTTCACAGCCTTTCCAGTCACCCAGTCAGCGCACAACTCTGTTTTCATCCTGAACAAGGATATAGAAGAAGTGGTTCTCGACATGTTCCTGTTCAGGAAAGTAAGAGTCACCGGTTCATGGCCCAAAACAATTTTCAGGTCCGATACAGCAATCCAGGACCTGGAATTCGACCCGGCGGAATGGGCCTGGACTCCAGGAAGGAGCAAAACTGTCAAAACAGATACCCTCATACAGGACTATTCAGTCAAATTGGGCTATAGACTATTCCTCAGAACCAAAGATCCGGACCCCATAATCAAGAGCAGGTGGTCCAAACTAATGGGTCAAGACGCCAGCCACATCCCACAAATCCCATGGAGAAAATTTAAGTCAATCAGACCAATAAAAATTAGGAGCCTCCAATGGCTAATTGCATACGTGGCCTTACCGGTTAATCAATGGTTGCACATCCAGAGACACAAGAACGATCCCAACAGCTCAGACCTATGTTCAGTTTGTACGGATAATGAACCTGAAAACATGAGAGAAGCAACAGAGTACTGGGCAAGGGCATCGGCCCTCTGGCACTCTCTATTCTCATCTCCCCTCCCCGAGCATCCCCTCCAATTTCTCCTTTGGACTAACATCCCCACCCAGCTGAACAAGACAGAGAGGATCTGGTTCCGAATGATCAGGAAAGCGACACTGTGGACCATCTGGAAGGAAAGGTGCAGCAGGACCATTGAAGGTACGTCAAACTCGAGGGAAAAAGTCTGGGCGGAAACTAAGGACTTGATTCAAGCGGAGATTCTATGCAAGTGGCACAAGGCAAGACTCTCCTTACCAGACGACGACGAGCAACGGCGGGCAGCACTTTTAAAGTTCACTAATACTTGGCTGGTTGAAGGAAAAGTTGCTGAGATAAAGACCTCTTATATACGATGGAAGAAATGGCACAATTCGTGAAGGGGTAGGAGAGGTTCAGGATACCTCACGACAGATAGAGAGGAATAGGGAGGAAAAGATATTTGGGTAAGGGTTGTAGCTGGAAGAGTGGCACGATTCAGTCAAGTTTATAGGCCAGGCGACCTTTTGGGTACACAAAGATCCGTCTCCCAGATGAACACCTGCGAGGTACTAATTCCGGGAAGGGGTTCCCAACACCAGACATCCCTGAAAGGCATAACCTCATCTGAGACCGCAAGGGGATAAATACAATCTTCAAGTGACCCAGGGGGTACAGACAACGTGGGGTAAAGGAGGAAAAGTTGGGGAGGATGACAATACTGGAGCATTAACGGGGGCTGCAGAGGAAGATTCTACCTCAGGGTTCCGGAAGCTGACCAATACCCTGCCAGGTTCTAATTTTGATGATCGGAAGTTAGGAAGGTAGGCTGAGGGTTTAGGGCTTAAGGATAAACGGTTGTCCATCCAAAGGGGGGCAAAGATCTGTAGGGGGAGGTTTTAGTTTAGGTAAGGATAACAAATGCGCTCTTTCCAGGGTGAAAGGCTTTATTTGACAGATCTGGAATCCGGGTCTGAGAGAAAAGAGAGGGGTAAGGCAAGCTGACAGTCAATCCTCCCGCGGTGGAGTAATCAATGCTGCTCAGGGGTCCTTCGGCCTGATGGAAGGAAGCGTGTGTGAGTGGTCAATGATGTAATGTAAATCTTGACTTGCCGGTGGAATAGGAACCGGACTGACGCTCCCCAGAATAGAAGGAGCCAGAAAAATACGGCCCTGTATGTTAAAAAAAAAAAAAAAAAAAAAAAAAAAAAAGAACTGGAAGGGGTCGACCACGGCGGCAGTATAAGGTTCGATTTGCCTATCAAGAACCAGAAGATAACCGTTGGTACACAAGAGATGAACTGATGGAGACTGGTACCTCATGTTGTGTCCTACTATGAGCGTGCTAGGAAAGGAGTTGACATTGTAGACAGGTAAAGATTTAAGCTTTCTCGGAGGACCTCGAAATTAGGCCGGCAGGAGTGAAAGGATTTCACACAGTCAGCCCCCGAAGCCCATGTCCCGAGGTCCCAGTTGGTCCCGGTCCCAGGCTGTCCCGGTAGGGTAGGTAATATAGTCTGTACGTCGAAGCATTGTAGGTTGGTAGCCTGTGGTATGGAAATGTCACCAGGTCGTCTCCCAGGAGTGCCCAGAATCTTCCTTGTTCCAACAGCCGTTATAAAACATCACCAGGTCATCTCCCAGGAGTGGCCAGAATCTTCCCAGAACTCTTTGGTTAGTCCGTCAGTTCCGGGTGTTTTGTTGTTCTTCATACTTTTTATCGCAAACCATATTTCGTCTTTGATGAAGGGCTTGTCAAGGATGTGTTTCCGTTCCTTTGAGATGGTTCTGTCTAGGTATTTCAACATTCTTTCTCTAGCCTGCCTGTTCTGGGGGTGGTTGGTGTTTTTTTTGTTTGTTCTTACAAAAACTCCAGTCCCAGGGCCGCTTAACGAGATGATAAGAGCATCCTCCTTACGCAGGTCCCATTGTTAAAGACTCCATCTATTGCTGGCGAGTTGCACCTGCTGGAAATCAGGTCCGGCGTCCCTATTACTATATTGATGGTACATTGATTGTGTTTGTGTACAGCTCCTCGTAAAAGTTTCCTTTGCTAACTTCAACATTCCTTCACACTCTTTGCAAAGGATAGGCGGATCAGACCTATCAGATAGGCTTTCAATAGTGTTCGCTATGCTGTTGGCTTTGATCCTTGCAAAAAAGTATTTAGTCATTGATTCATTTAGTTTGTCATTGATTCATTTAGTTTATGGTCTGTCATTCTTGCTCTGATTTTTCATTAATTATTCTAATCACGAAAAATCGCCAAATCTCACTGACCACCCTTGACCAAGCCTGCTAGCCATCTCCAGATCTTCAAGATTGGCTGCCTGAAAAATTCCGCCCTTTCAAGACTTTGGGCCCCATTTTGGGCTTCCAGTCAGGATGTAGGACTGGTCCTAAGCTTTTAAGAGGTACCGGTTCCGTAGCAATAGCTGTAGGAGCACTGCTAACTGCAAAGGACCAGTCACCGCAGAACTTCAACCCCCATCAGAGCCATTTTAGAGTGGTCACCCACTCTAGAAATTCATGCTACCTTGACACAGACACGACAACCCACTATACTGCAGCCTTAAGGTTGTGAACGCTAGAAACAATTGAATTACGGGACTAACGGTTAGTCCAGGTACGCTTCCAGATACACAGGCTGGAATACAAAGAGTTGCAGCCAACCTCTTCCAGAATGTATACACCACCAACACACAAGCAGGATAAGAATGAGGTTCGAAGAGCTATAGAGAAATTCCTAAGGTATCTTGACGTCGGCATTAAGCCAGAAGCAGTGGTACACACATAGGAAAAGAATACCGAAGTTGCTAAGTAAATAGCCATTATTGTCAAGAATAAGCAAATGGAAATTATAAATGATGTACATCTTCTTGAGGATAACATAAAATAAGAAGGTCGTAGTAATTCAAGATAAATGTTGATATGTGTTATCATGTTATTGACTTATTAACTAAAGTGGAAGCATACAAACCACACTTAAGGATGTGCTACTAGACAAAGTCCCAAGGATGGATGACTGTCACAAGAATTTTGGTTAGCTCAAAAAGTTGAATCTGCACGGCAGTACTATGATGATACTTGTGACCCATGCCCTGTGGAGTCAAAACAGCATGTGCAAGATATCAAGCTTTAACTCAATAATGTTATCCTGAAAAGCAGGGAGTATGTCTTCATGTGGGGTTTTTCTGAACCTTGTTTCCTGCCAAAAAGGCAAATGCACACAGAGGTACCATTGTTATGATACTTGCATCAGTTTCAGAGGGCAAGTGCAACCACTGCAAAGGGAATGATCTTTAGATTTAGCAAATTTGTCGATCGAGACATTCGACAAGAACCCCAAATCCATCTTCTGCACATTGCCACCTGAAACCCCAACCACACTTCCCTTCCCCAATCCCCCAATGAAGGTCAAAGCGAGGAGCTTGTGAGGGGGTACAAATACCTGCGGTAGGGCCTCCATGTGCTGATTTTGTTCCCAACGGGCCAGAGAATGAATAAGAGGCATTCTCGGTAAAGGAAAAGCGACGCAGAAGCGCTGGAAGTTGAGATCCGGCTGCAGAACGCAAAATGACAAATATTAAATCAGAGTCCACATAAGAAGAATCCTACATGCTGCAGACCTGTGTACATTTCTCTTCACCACAAAAACAAAATGAGGGGAAAAGTGCAACACTACATGATTTTCATTGACTCTCGAGTCTTGAACCAATTTTGTGGGAGTAGGCTGGGAGACAAGAACATCCCTTTGTATTTCCCTCAGTTACTTTCCATTTTTTTTTTTTCTTAAAAAGGGTGACTGCCTTGAGATAACATTATTAAATGGAGCAATTCAGAATGACTTTAGTCTGTTCATCTGATGGTATGTGGATTCGAACTTGAGTCTGTATTTCAACAGTTCATGCGTGTACCAACTGAGCTGGGCGCGTTGCTAAGTACAAATTTACAAATTGCTCAACTTTCATAATTGTTTACCTCCATTTATCACGCTTGTGCCCATGCTGTCTTCCCTCATATGCAATGCACCCTCATCATGGCTGTATCGAACAAGAAAAGAAGCTTGTATACATTCATGATCAGGGTGCATTATGTTTGATTGAACACGGTCGTAAACAGGGTTCTCCTCCTCTTGACTCACCTCCTTGGGATAGTGTGTGCTCGATTACGTTATGAGCGAAGGTAGCCAAGTCAGCACAAACCTGACTCCTCGTCCGACTACATTCGCGTGCGTGGTGATCCGTGCAAATGTTATGCAGAACAACACACAATGTGACCACACCCTCCGGACCACGTGTATGTATGAAATACTTTGTGTACATTGTCTATGAAACAGGACTATATATGTGTTATTGTCCCCCTAGCATACATGCTTTTTTCCCCTAGTGTACTTCACCTTTTTTCCTTTTTCTGGCTGAAAATTGGGTTCAGTGTCCGTTACATAATTGACCCCTTGCGCACTTTCCTCCCCTGCAGCCGAGGAACCCTCTGTTAATCGCTTATGGAGAAAGTGGCATTGATCACTTCCTGCCGAGGAAGGATTTAACGCTGCTCCACCTGTGTTCTTTTGCACACCGCCTAATCACAATAATACACTTCGAATTTAAAACACCAGAAAATGTGCAGGACTGTCAAAAAATTCTAATTCACACTTCCTGGCAGAGGGCACAATAGCCAAGATTCATGAAGGCGCAATTATCTTTTGCGGTTTTTGCCCTTATAAGGACCGGAAGACCAGCCGCAAATAATATTATAGCTGTTGGGAATTAAATGTGGTGAGGGGTGCCGTTGTTGAGATCTGGCAGCCTCTGGACAGAGGGATCCTTACGTAAGAAGGAGGCAATACCTTCCATAACAAATAGGAAGATCGGTGGGGCTAGGGGATCTCCTTGTCGGACCGAACGAAAGATCGGCTAGTGCTCAGACATAAGCCCATTGACTTGCACACATCCTGAAGCATCATTGCATAGGATCCAGTTCGCTAGTGCTCAGACATAAGCCCATTGACTTGCACACATCCTGAAGCATCATTGCATAGGATCCAGATTGTAGACCCATTTTCTGAAGTTGGGTCCCACCCCCATTTTCTCCATGCTCGCGTTGAGGAAGGTCCAGTTGACTTGGTCATAGGCTTTCTCATAATCAAAGAACATGATTGGTGTGTTCAGCCTCTTCTCCCTGCCTTTCCTCGCTGCCTCCTTTAGAGTTAAAACGTCGTCCAAAATGTACCTCCCTGGGATAAAACCGGCTTCATCTATGTTAAAACATTTGTCAGAGAGGTCTAGAATCCTGAATGCTAATGCTTTAGCCATAAGTTTTTTTGGGGAGGGTGAGCAGAGAGATCGGTCTGTAGTTTCGGATATCCTCCTAGTCTCCCTTTTGGTATAGTAGGGTCACAATGCTGCTGCTCAACAGTTCTCCTATTCCTCCCTTCTCCCAACTATCTTCGTAGAAGTCGAGGATATCATTTCCCATCATGGGCCACAACTGCTCCCCAAATTCTTTGGTGAGACCATCAATCCCTTGAGTTTTATCATTGTTCATGCTGTGGATTGCAAATCTCAGTTCCTCTGGGTGATCGGTTGGTCTAGTACTGCAACATGTTCCTAAAGATTGTTTTATCTAGGAATTGGAGCATTTTCGATATCGCTTCTCTTACGGCCGTGGAGGGGGGGGGGAGAGTCTTTGTCTGGTACAACTCTTGATAAAAACCTTTGACTATTTCCAACATCCCCTCGTTGTCCGTCCTTGTGGACTGTTCGCCTGACATCTCTTTGAGCCTTTCTATTGAGTTCCATATGTTATTGGCCTTTACTCTCGCGAAGAAGTTGGTCACAGATTTGTTCAACTCATATTCAGTTATTCTTACTCTAAAGTTGTAGGCCTCTCGTTCCCATTGTCTCCATAGCGCCAGTTCTTCCCATGCCCGTTTGAAGGTTATTGAATAAAGGGCGGAAGAGGGGTCATGTGTCAAATTGGCCTCAACAATTTTAGCAATATCTCCGCGACATGTTTCCTAAGTCTCCAATCGTTGGCTAGTTTTCGAGATATACATGCCATTTATTGAGACAGAGATAGGTAACTCTCATGGAACGACTCCCATTTGGCACGGTCGTCTAAGAATATGCCTCTTGAGCTTTGCCAGCATTCATGTACACTGTCCAGGAAGAACAAACTTAGAAGAAGGGAGTTATTCAATTTATAAAAGTTGGCTCCTCTCGTGATATATTGGTCAAAACTAAGGATCATCTCAATTGGATTATGGTTCAGTCCCGCGTAAGAGGCGAGTGCAAGAATGCAAGCCTTCTTAATGGTTCCCATTAGACATTCAGAGGCGAGGAAGTAATCAATCCGAGAAAAGGCCGTGTGGTGGGCATGGTTTGTCTTTACTGGGGAGAATGCTCTTCTATCGGGTATAGCGTGCGGAAGGGATCTACTAGGTTATGGTCCAGCATGAGTTTAAACCACAAGTACACATCCCCAGTCTTGCAGTCCTAAACTTATCGCCACAAGAAAATGAGACCGAAACGTCAAACGTTGGACCCCCCTTGATAAATTCAATCAGTGGCCTCGTTTTCGTTTCGTGCCTCCAGAATTTGAGGTGTCAGACCCGCGGCCCAGGTGCCCATGTATTGGTGCTTTAAGGACTCGTGCCGCTTCTTGAGAGGCTTGGGATGCTGATGCCCGAGAGATTTTGTCGTTGTTAGGTCAAGCGCAGCCCCCTGCTATGATGCATCTTGAGAGAGGTGTTACTAGCTGTCCCACTGTCAATACATACTCTGACCATTCAAATGGGTTGTTAGGTGCATAGATGTTGATAATTTTGAAGCCCTCTTCTTTCCATTTCAAGTCCATCATGCACCACCTCCCCGTCTCGCTGTCCGCTTTCATCCCTTGTACTGAACCTGCCAAGTACAATCGGGAAGACTTTTGTATCAGAATAGTCGTGCCTTTCGTGCTTGAGTTATTGTCCAAAGCCTCGATTTCGTCCCTGACCCCTCCTAGCTTTCTTGTGATGAATTTTATGGTCTTTTGGTGGTCTTCCGAATTGGTCAGGTGTGTCTCCATGATGTCCGCTGGTTTGTTTGAGTAGTCCTTCAATTTGTCTTCTTTGGTGGTGTTATTGCCAAGACCATTAACGTTCCAGCTATGAATAATGATGCCTTGTATTTCCAGTTCACCTTTAAGCCCTTCGCATTGGATTCCTTTCTTTGCAGAGCCATGGTCAGGCTTGTAAGGTGAGTTTGGTAGGACAAGGGAAGCTAGATCCAAGAGGTGTTTGAGCCCCCGGTCGCCATAGAATCATCGGACTCTCTAGGGGGATAGGACTGGTTATTGGTCAGGGATTCAACCATCCTATACTCCCCTATGCTACCACTGATCTCCTAGGCCATTCCGATTTTCTCCTGCAGGATGGTCGCCACATTCTGGCCTTCATCAATCCTAGGGATCGTGAAGGACACGTCTGTGGCAACCTGCCACTCTTTCTTTTTTGCTTAGCGTGCGGCCAAGGTGGTCAGTCCCCATCAAAGTCGGCCTTGTAGATTAAGTTTGGCCCAACGCCTGGGGGTCCTTGCTATGGGCTATGTGCATGAGAGAGATTAATTTCGGCTCATAGGCTATGTTCAACTTCTTGAGTTTCTCGGTTTGTGCCTCAACCACTGCAATTTTCTGTTCAAGTTCAGTCCTGGCTGTTTTTTCTGCAGGTTCCGTTTCTGTCTGGCTCGTGCTGATTCCTTTCTTTTTCTGGTTCATGGACATCTTTAATTTTTTAGGCCTCAGATCCTGAAGAGCGTCCTTTGAGCCTCCTCCTCTTTGAGGTTGATGAATGCTTGAGTTTTGACCTGGATCTTTTCCGGTTCCTTTTGCTATTCCTCTTCCATTTGTTCCCAGACCGAATCCAGATCCCAGAGCAGATTCTTTCTTGCCTTCTCCTCCTTGATCACACGGGAATCATTGAGGGGGACTGCTTTAATCTTCGCCAGGGTCCCTGTTTCTTTTCATGTAGCCTTGTTTTGCCACCTGATGTCTGCGGGTGGTAAGATGTCCTTTTTTTTTGTTGCGGGTCATCCAAGTTATCATCGAAAACCCACCATCATAGGTTGGGTCTACTATGAACCAGGTGCCCGAGGTGTCCAACGTATTGGGGTGCAACTTTTTTTCCCTCTGGTGCTTCAGAAACTTGGGACATGCAGGTTCAGACCCCATATGTCCCCTCTCTCTGCATCTGAAGCAAATGGGGGATGTTTTAGTCGAGATGATAATTTCCAGCATCCTGTCTTGGATCAGAAACTTCCACTCTTGAGGGAAGACCAGTGGATCGTCGATTTTCACCTCAAGGATGATCGTCATCGTTCCACAGTGTGAAGCCAAAAATTCCAGTACCGGCAAAATCCATTTGAGGATTTTGTTCGTCGGGTGTTGTCTTTCAATTGTCCACCAGCACCCCGTGGAAGTCGGGCTGACTTTTATCAAATTGAACCCAAAATTGTTCTTTGAGACAGAGAAGGTTGGATTTGGTCTTGCATTTGTCTGTTTTTCCCACTGGGTAATAGTACA